GGGCTTCCTGGGCGCGTCCTGAAACGGGAGAAGGAGCCGGTTCAATGCTCGCCCCGCAGGCCGCTTCCACAGCCTGAGGGAAGGGCAACCTCTATGCAGCCGGGGACCCCCTGCCACGGCCTGACCCCAGGGTCCTCGGGCTGCACCCAGCAGCCCCGTCCATTGTCGGACGAGGCGAGCTCCGGTGGCTCGAGGAGGAGCAGCCTTGGGTTTGGAGGAAATCCGAATGTCTGGAGCGGGCGGGGGCTGGTCGGAGCAGTGGTTGGGCAAGAAGGAATCAATTCGCATTCTTTATGGCTTATCCCGCATTCCCATCTGCGGTGTGGAATCCAGCGAGTGGCCCTTGAAGTCCCTAAAGCTCCCTGAGGGCAGGCTCGGGGGAGGGGGCAGGATCAGCTACGAGGGCAGCTGGGCAGAGCCTGTGCGGCGGGAAGAGGGGGCAGGCCTCGCCAGGCTCCCAGGGCCGGCCACCCACCCTGGGCTCCCCTTCCCAGGTACCCTGGGGGCTGAGGAGCCATGGGTGCTCTTGAAGGCCCCCTTCATGGGCTCCCCTAAAAGCTCCCCTCCGCCTCCGCCCCCCACTGCTGCCCCCGCAGAGAGGCGCATCTGGGCTGCCCTCTCCCGCTCGGCTTCCTGTCAGCAGGCGAGTTCCCATCGCGGCCGCGGAGCCCAGCCCGTTGGAAGGTCTGCACATGGGCACATGTATAGGAATCAGTAAACACATGCACGTCGAGAGATAAGCAGGGCATGCCAAAGCTGGACAGACAGGCTTGGGTGGTGTGCCAGCATCAGCCCAGGAGAACCCAGGGCTGGGTGCGGCTGGGCGGGCAGAGGTGAGGTTGGGAGGGGCGGTGGAGGTACCTGCAGGAAGGCTGGGGGCAGTCTGAGGTGCCCTCCCCGGTCCTGCAGGCCAGTGCCTGCCCCAGCTGCAGCCCCTGGCAATTCCTCAGCCCAGGCTGGTGCCTGAGTAGAAGGCAGCAGGGGCTGATGGGAAGGGCTGGCCATGGTCATGTGACCAACTGCCTCCAGGCCATGTGACCCGCCTGAGTCCCCAGTCCTGGGCTCCTGGCTCTCTAGGCCCCTGTGGCTGCCTGCAGCGCTCAGGGGGCGCCCTCCTGTTCCTCCCTCAGCCTCAGTCTGTCCTCTGGGGCCCTCCCCGCCTCTGGGGGGCAGTCTAGGGAAGCAGGAGGGTGGGGAGAGGAGGAGGAGCAGAGAGTCCCAAGGCTCCCAGCTCATCCCCAAGGGGCTCTCCTGAGGTCAGAGCGCCTCAAGCTGCCTCCTCTCCGCACCAGAGGGCTCTTCTCGGCCTGAGGCTGAGGCAGTGAGAGGGGGGCTGAGTAGAAGGAGAGGAAACCCGTTGGGGAGCAATCCTGAAGGCCTGAGGCTGAGGCAGTGAGAGGGGGGCTGAGTAGAACGAGGAGAGGAAACCCGTTGGGGAGCAATCCTGAAATTTTACACCCTGTTTCTGGGTAACGAATGAGGTCATCTGAGCACGTGCAGACCTCACATGACTTCAGTCCTGCACCAGAGTCCAGACCTCTGATCCCAGGGCCAGAGGTCCCTTTGGGGCTCCTCTGTTGAGCCTTTGGTTCTGTTCTCCTTCAGGCAAGGCTGTGAGACCTGGGCCGGGGAAGCCACTATGGTGTCCGGCCTGGATGTCACTTGAGAGGAAGCAGTGACAGTGTTCCACCCACCAGGCTATTGAGGCTCTGGAGGTGGAGCCACACATGGAGAGATTGCCAAAGCTCTCCCGTGGGGCCAAGCCCTGGTCTGGGGGAGAACTGGAGGCTCAGAGAGGGGAGGGTCGCAGCCGCCTGCATCCCAGCTGGCTACGAGCAGAGCTGGGACTAGAACTCAGGGCTCCTCCCTGGGCATTTTCATTTCTTTATAGCAAATGTCAGGACCTTGCTCACATTTCCTCAATATCACCTACAGGCTTCCACTTCAGCTTATCTCCCCACTTCTCCCTCATGATGATCTGAGCAAACTCCTACAAACTCCCTTGTCTCTCTCCCCAGCCCCTGATCACTTTGGCCTCCCAGGTGTGTTTCCCTGCACCCATGGCTTCCCTGTTTCTCATCTGCCCTGGTCTTTACCTCACTGTTAGGAACTGAGCTGCCTGGGGCTCTGACCCCAGGGGGACTAGCAACCTCACTGTCTCCAGCTCCAGGCGGAGAGCTCTCCAAGGGTAGAAACAGCGCCTCTCCCACCAAATCAGGAACTTCCCTGGGCAAAGGGGGAGCTGGGCTCTGTCATTTCATCGCCCTGCCTGTGGCTGACCTTAAGTCCTGCCAGCGATGAGACTCCTTACCCCCCGAGTTCTCCATCAGTCCCCTCTTCTGAGGCTTTGCTATTACACAGAGAACCAAAAAGGCTCTTTGTGGACTTTTCTAGTTCTCTTAATTACCCTCCCTACTAATCTGGTCAGCCCCACCCTCATGCCTCCTGGAATCCCAGTAGCTATCTATTCTCCCAAGGACAAATCTGACCCAGAAACCACCTGTGGGGAGGGGACAACCTCAGGAGTTACAGACTCCCTGGGGAGACAAACTGAGAGACAGCGAGATCTCTGCTCCAGAGCCAGGCTGAGCTGCCGGGATGAAGCACTTGGAATTTGAGAAAGAGAATGAGAACTTAACAGTGGGTGAGAAACACAAATCTCTTTGCTTTCCTGAGGCTGGGGGTGGGTGTCTGTCAGTGGAATTACTTTGGGAACCATAACCAATTAGCTCCCGCAAAGGTATATTACGCAGGTGTGATACGGAAAATGTTAAGTATCTGGTAAGGCTGCCCATCAGAATGGATGCCAGGGCTACTGCCTGAAGGCCCTGCTGTGCCAGGGGTTATCTCTCTGGTTGCTGGATTTGGGGAGGTCTAGAGCTCCGGAAGGGTGGTGGGCAACAGCTTTTTATTGTCTGGGACAGTATTTGCATATTTTAATAACTCTGGTTACGAGCTGAATTAAGATCTGTTTCAACCTAGGAACACCTTCAGGTCTCTTAGGATCTAACCCAGACCATCAGCCGGGTAGACAACCAGGAGTTCCCGGGTAGTGGGCAGTGTGGGCAAGGCTGGGATTCTCAAGGCGGCCTCAGGGGCTCAGTCCTGAGAGGCCAACACCTCTCTGAGCTCAGGCCAGTGGCCCTGGAAGATCTGTCCCCATCTCCAAGAAAGCAAAGGGATGTTCCCGCCCCAGGCACGAGGGGCAGAGCAGCAACTCACAGCAGGCGTGCAGGGGACAGCCCCTGGGGGTGAGTGTGGGGGAGAGAGGGTCATCCTCACGAGCACGGGCATCTCGTCGTCCGACATCGAGCTGGCTGGCTTGTCTCTGGCGGAGGGGGCGGCAACGACGCTGTTGGCGAAGCCCTGAGAGCTGGGCTTGGGCACGAGAAGCTTGACAGGGACAGACACGGGCATGACCATAGGCGTGAGGCTTTCTGCCTCAGGAGGGAGCTGCGGTGGCAGTGGAGGCGGCAGTGGCTGGGGCTGCGGTGGCGGGGCCTTCTCTCCTTCCTCCTACACAGACAATAAAGGCTTTGATCCTGGGCTGAGAGCAGCTCTCACAGGGGGGATCACTCCGCTTTTCCTGACAGGGTCCAGGACATCATGCAGGGGATGGAGGACCGCTGCAGGGCAGCTTCCTTCCTGCTAACTGCGCTCCTTGGCTCGAGTGATGCCAGTGGGCAGCAGACAAGGCCATGCACTCTCTTGTTTACATTTTAAATATCTTGACCATGTATCACATGTATATTAAAACATGTTAAAATTTTTTGGTGGTTGTCACTGCTTTTAAAGACAAGGATATGGATTTGTAATCAGGCAAAAAACCAACAACACACCCTCTTGTGTAGGACCTTTGAATACATTCTATGGGCCTCAGTTTACTCATCTGTTAAGTGGAAGACAAAGCTTTTATCTGGCATGGTCAGGAGATGGAGTGACCCGGGTAATGCAAGACTTTGATGAACAGGGAGTTAATCCCTCAACAATATTCAAAGAACTGAGAAATTCTTTGAATTTTAATCTAACTCTAAAACTGCTTGGACAGGTCACGACATGGGTATCCTACCCGGATAATCCTGAAGGTATTTAAAGCTCTTTGGATGCTAGAGTCTAACACTATTGCACTGGAGAACAGAAGAAGCTGGCTGACAGCCTGGTGGCCACATGCTGGCCATCAACTACTCATCTGGAAGGCCCACGTGACCTTGGTCTTGGCTGCTTTAAGCAGAAGTTAAAAATAATATCACACCTACATGTTTCTTGGCTGTCTTCTCCAGGGGGTGGGAGGCTGGGTTCCCTACGAGGGTTCCCAGCACTTCTGATTCTGGCCCTCATTCATGAGGCCGGTGGAAGTGGGGGCTGCCGGACCCGACTGGCTCCCAGCGTCTAAGGTGAGGCCTTCCCGTTAAGAAAGGACTGTGCCTCCCTAGGTGCCCGCACGGGGCTCACCTCACTCTCTGATGGCAGCAAAGCAAAGCAAGCAGCACGTGGCCTGGGAAGGGCGGGCGGCTGGCACCGGCTAACCTGTTTGAGGCTGGGGGAGGCCCTCATGCCCCCGTGGGACCGCATGTGGCCATTCAGGGCGGGCAGGCTCTTGAACTCCTTCAGGCAGATGGAGCACGTCAGCTTGCTCTTGGCATCCATCTGTTCCCCAAACACTGCTTTCGGTTGGCCGCTGCTCCAGGGGAGGGACAGACAGAGAGGACACGTACGTGAGGAAGGGGAACGGATTTATCCAGGACCTCACACCCGACAGCAAACCCATTTTATTCATTCAGTGCTCCCATATCCGCGGCCCCAACTGTATCTCCCCAATACTCTGCAGAGAGCTAAGCCCAATTTATAGATGGAAAACAGGCTCAAGAGTGGGAAAGGGCTTGTTCAAAGTCATGCAAGAGTTGAACAAAATGTTCTTCGTCCCAGGCCTCAGGTGCTAGTTTTTTCCTCCTATGGTGGCTTATTATTACCTTTCTAGGGTCAGCTAGGCACACTTCTTCCAGAACCTTCCCTTAGAGACGCGGCCTCGGGTTCAGCTTCCAGCCTGCACATTTTAGTGCCTCACTGGGTTCTGGCTACGTCTTTAATTATTTACCATGCCCACGAGGGGAGGAAACAAGTCCGAAGTATTCACGGTGGCATTCTCAAAGCTTAGCTCCATGCCGGGCACACAGTAGGTACTCAATACATACCGACTGAAGAATGGACAGCAGACAGAACACAAGCTTTGCTGCTTACTTGATGCGCACCTTTAAACTCCGAGCCTCAGTTTTCACGTTTGTAAAATAATAGCTAACCGTGGTCGAGTGCTCACTCTATCTGGGCACATGGTAATCACGCCCACCCTCGTTGGGTTACCTGATTTCACATAATATAGAGTGCCTAGCACACAGTCAGTGCTCAACAGCTGCTATTACTATCCCTATAAACTTCTTTGAGGCATTGACTTTGAATTTGGAAATGAATCATGAGGGACAATGCAGGAAAAAACCCCAGTCTCCCAAAATGCCAACGAGCCACCTCCCATCCATCCTACCTTGACTCAGGGGACCCTGGCTGGGCTCTGCCATCCGGTAGGTGCATCTAATGTTGAGCCATGCAGGACACCGAAAGAAAGAAGAGGGAAAAAAAAATGCGTTTTTGACGGGAGGCGTCCTTGAGCAGGGGAACCCCGGGGCCGTACTTCCCGGGCTCTGCCCGCTCTCCGCCTGGCACTGCCCGCTCTCCGCCTGGCACTGGCCGTGCTCACAGCTGCTCACTCCCGCACTCTTCCACTCCTGAGGCTTCCTCCCCGGGACTGCTCCCTAACCACGGCCACTCTAGGAGCTGCCACCAGCCACAGCCCAGCAGGACTCAACTCCCGACTGTGCATAGCCAGGCCCCATCCCCGGGAGAGACACAGAATGGAGGAGGGCTGTGTGAAACAACACCAGAGACCTGCCGCTGAAATTCTCTCCCGGCCTTGACCATGTCATCTTCTTCTTCTATCACAAAGGCTCTCAGTTACTACTGGGCCCGAGCCCCCAACAAAACAGAATCAAGGGGAGTTCATCTCTGGCCTTCAAGCTCCATCAGAGCCCTCTCTCCACCTAACCTGTCCTGGTCACGCTCCTCCCCTCCCCTGACCGCACTGTCATACGAGGATAGCACTTGGACTATGCCAGCCCATGAGCAATACCCGGCCCACAGCTGGCTGCTCTGTGGTCAAATGCATTTGGGAAACAAGCAAGGCTTAATAACTGGCCTATAGGCTAGGCCTGGCCTACGGACATGTTCTGTGTGGCCAGACTGTTCGTTAAAATCCTGAATAAGGATGCCATTAGGTGGGGCACATGCTCTCCAGGCCACCGCCGTCACCCCGCTGCCGCTGATCTCATCCCAGGCCATTTCACTCATTCACTTTACCTGCCTGGATCCTGTGGGCCGCTAAGGTTTCATCCCTGTGACTACATGCAGTGCCCCTTTGGGAGAGTCACAGTGCACAGCAGCATTTTAAAGGCACCGAGAAGCCCTGTTTCACTTAAAAAAACCCCAAATTACTTTACCCACAGAACCCAGCCCTCCCCCGGCCCCAGCAATATTCATTAAACAGTGAACATCCTATGGAACGCCTGTTCTGGGCAATATACTTTGAGAAGTGCTATCATAATGTGATCTCCCTCCCCAAAGGGGGACAATTTCACAGGACAGCCCCAATGACAGATCCAGGGGGAGCCAGACACTCCCACCGTGTGGTCCCCGGGCACGTGACTCAAGGCCTTAGTCATCACGTACATCATTCAGGACCTGATGTGGTGTTTTGGCCATTTTCTTAGTGAGATTAGAAGGTTTTTATAGGCAAAGGACGGAGTCAAACCTGATTCTGTATTCCAGGTACCTGACATAGAAGTGCCTGGCACATGTAGGTTAAGGTGTGTGGAAAGAATAAAGAACAAAAGGGTTGAAGGGGTTGGAGAGAGGACTGGGCACTGTGTAGACTCGGCCTGGCTGGCCCTGTTGCCGAGATGCCAGGAAAAACTTCCACGGTGAGAATACCTGGGGCCACATGGCGCCGGGAGACAGCTGCTGGTGCTGAGGCCCCACGTTGTTGAGGTGGATCCCACTGGGGGACAAGAGCGGCCGATGCGGGAGGGCACCGCTAACCCGGTTCAGGTCCAAGCTGGCTGGGTCTCCCATTCCTGTATCAGACGCTCCCAGGTCCCCATGGGAGCTCAGCATGGCCTGGGCCTGCCTTTCGCCTGGATAGGTCTTGGGCTGACTGTCCTCACGCTGCTGGTGCTGGGACAGGTGGCTCTGCTGGTAGAGGGGGTGGCTGTAGGGTTGCTGGGGCTCCTGGTAGTAGTACTGGGGCATGGAGCCCAACTGAATCAGCTGCACAGCGTGTGCCTGCTCCGGGGTGTACTGGTGGGGGTCCCTGTGATAAGAAGGGGGCTGCAGGTGCATCTGTTGCTGCTGCTGCTCTTGCAAGTGCTGCATCATGGGTGGGGACTGATAATACTGAGGTATCTGCATGGAACCCTGCCGCTGCTGCAGCTGCTGCTGTGGCTGCGGCTGGAGCTGTGACGGGCGAATCTGCTGCTGCGGCTGCATTTCTTGCATGGACATACGCTGCTGCCCGGCTTGCTGCTGTTGCTGCTGCGGGTAATACTGGTGCTGCTGCATCTGTTGCACGTGCTGGGACAGCATCTGTGAGCCCTGCAGCGGCTGTCCTCCCTGCACTGGCATCTGAGCCAGTGGCTGCTGGTAGTCGTAGTACAGGTGCCCTTGGCTCGGGAGCTGCCCGACCTGGAGAGCTGGTTTGGACAGCCCGCCAGTGAAACCTGGGTGAGGCTGCTGGGGCACCTGCTGGTAGCGGGAAGGGACAGACGGTGCTGGGGGCTCCATGGGCTTCTGGGACAGCAGCTGGCGGAGGGCACTGTCAGGGGTTCCATCCATCACTGCTGACTGGGTGTGCAGCACCTGGGCCATATTGTTGACCTGGATCCGCAGGTTTTGGTTGGCAAACACCTGGGTGAAAGAGTCTAGCTTGTGCAGGACACCGCTGGTGAGCTTCTGGGTCCGGATCTCGCTGGCCTGGGAGTAGGTGTACTGGTAGCCTTCGGTGGGCTCAGCCTGGGCTGGTGCCCCCCACATCATGTTTGAGTTGGTCAGGTTGCCACGGAGCTGGACGTGGTTTCCAGGCCCTGCATGGCCACCCCACCCTCCCTGCCTCGAGGTATCCACTTGGCCAAGGTTTTTGGAGCCAACAGGCAAGCCTAGACCATCCCGAGTATCTTGAGGGAAGTGGGGGGAAATGGGGGATGCCTGAGGGGCATCCATGCCAGCCCCCGTGACTGTATTCCCATAGTTGTGGTTCAGCCCGCCGTGGACGCCGAGTGGTGGCTGTTGGTAGAAAAGGTTCTCACTGCTGTGGGCCACGTGGTTGGTCTTGTACAGCTGCTGATCCCCCATGGTGCCGGCCTTGGTGGTGAATGTCCAGCCACAAAACCATAAAAGAAGGTCAGTGAAACAAACCCAAAAGGACGGAAACCCTGAGAAGGTGCGAGAAAGCGTCCACACTACTCCACGGCTGACATGTCTGTGACCGTGGCTGGAGCCAGGTGTTCCTGATGACCTGCACCACTCATGTGCAGAGTGGGGGCCTTTACATCCCCACCCGGGCTTAGGTACGGACCAAACACCACCGTGGTGAAGAGATGCCGCTCACACCTGCAAGACAGAGGCAAAGAGAAGGAAAGGATTTATGTACGTGATGTTTTACAATGAGCAATTATACCCACCATGACCAGTTATAGAAATAAAGACAAACGGGAGACTCGATTAGAGATAGTGTCACACACACCACAGCCTTTCCACTGACTCTGCACATCTTGACCCTCACTTTGAAGCCATTCATTACCCAAAGGCTCATTAGTTTATTGATCTGTTCATTCATTGTTTTGCTCACTGATTAATTAATTCACCATCCATTCTTCTGGGACCCTGCTATGGAAAGCCCAGCATTATTCTAGGCCGTGTGGGAGATGCAAAGAAGTTGAAGACATTCATTAATCAATGTATCTGCTCAACAAATACTTATTAGACACCTCCTCAGTGTAAGGCACAATGCTAGGAAGTGATTGAGACCTGGGCCAGCTCTTGAGGAGCTTACAGTTAGAAAAGGTGATGGGTCCATGAGTAAGTACAATACAAGGAGGGAAGAGACACATGTAAATCAAAGGTAAAAATCACAGCGTGGGACCTCACAGACTGGAGAGCGTATTTCCAGCGAACAGAGCTGGAGACAGTACTTGTAAGAGTACTGCCCTTGTTAGTTAGCCTGTGAGGGCAACACAGTTCCTGCTTCCTTGTGGTCCCTGCTCAGGGAAACGTCTGTGCCAGGGCTGACCACCTGCAGAAGCCCATGATGCGGCCTGGCACGGAAACGAGTCTGGGCCAATAGATTCCCTCTCTTAGAAACATGAACTAGGAAATGTGAAGAGGCTGGTCTAGTCTGGTTTGAGTCCAGACAGGTTCTTTCGTGAACTTCAAACTGGGGGATGCAAACCCCTGGGAGTAAACGAAGACTTTATATAAGCTACACGCGCCCTCCACGTTTTCAGAGAATCAATTTCCAGATCTTCAACTTCCATAGAAACTCTTCTAGAAGGGATGGCTGACAGAAATGTGAGTTGTCCTCTTATACCTGCTCTTTCACAACAGACCTCCTCCTCTACCAGAGAAAGGCAAACCTCTTACCCTCCCACCCGAGTCTCAGCTGAGTTCACTGCCCAGGACGAAGCTCCTGGCCACCACACAAGAAGACACTTAGGAACTTGAGAAAGCAAGCAACTCTGATCCAAGCGAGTTCATGTGTTTTCTTTCATGCTGGGTGGTCTCCAATTCCTTTTTTTATTTGGAAGGCCAAACAGAAGTAATTAAAATGAAATTGTCAGTGATCACTATGTGATTTTTGGCATGTAACTCAGAAGCAGATCAAGAACCGAGTGACCCTGCTTTATCCAAGTTTTATTTCTATCTACTAGTTGATATGAATGTGGGTTTTCAGTGCATTTAAATAAAGAAAGGAAAGACAATCGATGCTGATCCTTGTCTCATGCCACAAAATGATATTCTTCTTTGGATAAATAAACAAGTTGAAGAAATAACCCAGAACCAGCAATATTCTATATCCGGACCTGGGTGATAATGACATGGGCGTGCTCACCATGTGATAACCCAAACAGCACACTTCGACCTGGTCACATACAGGTGTGTATATCGTATGTCAAGAAAAAAAAATTATTAAAAGGAATGTATGTTGTGTCACGATGGTCTACCTCTCTTACCATCTTGTCCAGTGTAGGCCCTTGCTCTGTCATGCTGCTCCCTCTCTCTGGAATGTTCTTTCATTCTTTCCTTACTTGGCCAAATGCTGCACATTCTGCAAGTCTGACCCTAACAACCACTTCTAAAACATGTTCCTGCCCTCGGAACCCACTGCATTACCTGCCCCGTGTACTTCTGTTCGCATTTAATACAACTAAATTCTAAATATTCGCGGAATAAAAAAATTATTTTAAAAAATGACCCAGCATCACCATCTCACTAAGAGATGCATTTTCAATATAATTTTAGTTTTTATGCTTATTAATTATTTATCAAAATGAGTAATACACTTGTGTCGTTTTGATCAACTGTACACTATTAATAATTGTAACAATAACTCAAACTAGAAGAAAATGTTAACACTTAGAGCTTTATGATTTCAGGAAATTAAAAAACTTTTAACTTCATATAAAATTGTTTCAGAGAAATATGATAGGGAAACAAATGAAAGAATTTTAAGCATAAAAATATATTACATATATTACATTAGGATGAAATTCCATGGGGGAAGTGAAACAGAAATAAAATTTCAAGGAGAAAAGGAGCACTATTAACAAAGAGTGTGTTCATGCATTTTTAAAATGGGTGATGGTAGGTATCAGATTGCTAGGGTGTTTCGATTCTGCTGGATAAATTGCAAACAGTGATGTAATAGTTTTACTTAAAAATATCAGTGCTTATACTAGTAACATACTGGGAGTCGCACCTTCTACCAATGTCTGATTAAAAATGTCGATGTAAGCTTAAAGATGTGTGAGGGGGTATGGAGTTTTACAAAATCCTTTGGTAGGGGCTTTTAGGCAGAACTTCGAAGACACGGCAGTAGCGCCACTCCGACTGCAGGCCGGCCTCAGCTGGCCCCTGACCCTTCTGAACAACAAAGGAGACAGACGAGTTCAGAGGGAGGGCTTTGGTTTGGCGGAATGAAGGGTGGATGAAGGAGAGCAGTGGGAAGGTATGCGTGAGCCAGGAATGGCCACTGAAGGCTTCCGAGCAGAGGCTGGGGCTTCAGGACCAGGGAGACCCACCCCTCGCTGCTCACAGGGTGGCCCCGTATCACCGGGAGCTTCAGCCCAGAGCTATTCACCAGAAGCTGCATTTTATCAAGACCCCCAAGTTGCTAGTGTGCATACTGAGATTCGAGAAGCAATGGGTTGGCAGGTTCTGGCTACATCCAGGTCCGACATAGTGAAGACCTGAACTCGGTGAGCAGGGAGAGATGAGAAATGAGAGAAACATCCCCCATGCCGCCAGTGGGATGTGACTGTCCTTCCTCCAAGTGCCCTGCCCTTCAGGGGCTGATGACCCAGTCTGAGGAGACACCCCTCCTTTCTCACACATGCTCTCTCCCTTGACATCTGCACCCACCACACATTCCCATGACACCCCATGACCACCCCCGCTCAGAGGGCCGAGGTCCCGATTAGCTGCCTACTCCACATCACCATGTGCAGGTTCAAAGGCAAACTCAATATCATCTCCTCCAAAGTGGACACTCGTCCACAGTCTCACCCTTGACTCCTCCCTCCCCCTTAAGTGACCACCACAACCGATCAATTCCCCTCCCCGTATTTTCTTAGCTCCATCCACCTTTTCTCTGGTTCCACTACGATCACCCTCGTCCAAGACTTCCTGTTCATCTTCTGGACCATTTCACCAGCCTTCCAACCTGTCTCCTTGCTCTCAGCCTGTCCAGTCTCCCGACAACAGCAGCAGAATGAACTTTCAGAACCTGACTCTGACCCCGTCATGCCATTGCTGAAAACCCATCCTGGCATCCTAGCGCTCTCAGGTCAGAGGTCAAGATCATTAAGGTCACCAGCCTCACAATGAATCCCTCTTCTTTTCTTCTCTTTCTCTCTCTCTCTCTCCCTTCCTTCCTTCCTTCCTTCCTTCCTTCCTTCCTTCCTTCCTTCCTTCCT